GACAGTGAGTAACTGTTTAAAGTAAGTACCACGATAGAGCCTTTACAATTTGATTGATGGTCTCCATGGTTTTACATGAGGTAAATTGTTATTCCCTTAAAGACTTCTTTTATTTGCTTATTTATGGGGATTTATTGCTCTAGAGTCTGATCACCTCATAAATATCAATGAATTTAACCTTCAAAATTAATTCTCTTTGAAGACATTTTACAAATCGGCACAAGTAAAGAACACGCCCTCGCTCTCAGAGAAGTAGCGTTCAGACTTTAATATAGGTTTCTTTTATAAGCTAGACAGCAGCTCTCTGACGAAAGAGCTGGAAAATGCACTTGTCAGGCGCAAACTGTTCCATGGAAGTACAGTTTGGAGAACTCTTTTTTTTTTTTCTTTTAAAGCTAAGCACGCTGCATCCGAGTTGGAGCTTCTTGGGTGTATGGCTTAGCCTACTCTGTGAACAGCCTCAAGGCTCCCAGGGTCTCTGACTTCATGGCTGCTGGCACCTCTGGGTTTTCCAGAGCCCCATTTTGGAAACAGATTTTCAAAATCGGGTTTCCCCGTGGCACAAAAATCTGCTCCTGACTCTTAACTTGGACCAGATGGTCCCCAAAGCCTGGGTACCTGCCGAGACTGAAATCTGACAGAGCACCTAAACGTCACTTTATGCTCAGCCGCGTATAGATTCTTGCCAACCCGGGTCAGAAATGGGTGGTTTATGCCCGTAGGCTGTAACAGGTAGCAACAAACCCATTCTGTCTGTCCTTAATAAGTTCCATTATTTCTTCTGACTGGAGAAGGTGAAAAGCAATCTCACTTGTCTGCTTGCCAGTCTTACTTGGCAGATGCTCGTGGAGCAACATTTGGCATTGATGAACAGGGAACTCTAGGAAAGTTACATGGTTATAGCCCTGCAGGGAAGTAGCTGACATTACTAAAACTGAATACACTGGAATTATGTGAATAAGACTTTGAGTCTGTAACACCGGTTGCAGGAAGGGAAAAGAGCCCTGCAACGAGTCCAATTGTGTCGCTCGCGTCCATCTCTGTGACGGCTTTGTAATTATCCAGAACTGGTGGAAGGTAATGGTCGTGTTTGCTGTGATTTAAGTACTTTCTGGCCAAGCACTTAAAGACCAGGTGTCACCCAAGTTGGTGTGACCAGAATACTTGAAATTGTATTAACAATGTGGATCCCTAAATAAATACAGTATAAAAGTCTCGTAAGTTAGAAAATGTGCGTAAATAAATGTTTGTATATATTGGGATTGTTTGTCTTAAGTTGCCTCACTGTATGGGGTAACTGTTGTTTACTTAGACATTGCAGTACTGGGGATGAAGAACTTTCTGAAAGACCAAGGACAAAATAGTAATAGAAAACCCTTCCTAAAACAATAAACACTTTAAATCTGTCTCTGATCTGTATACAGAATTTTAATAAAGCAGTTTCGAGGAAGTACTAGTTTATAGCTAGCTTTAGTTGCATTGATCTGTTGAGTAATTGCTCATAGTATTAATAGAGGTTGTAAAATTTTCCTTTCATAAGATTATTAAACATACAACAAAAGGAGGCACATTTTCCCATTTTTGAAGCTGTTCTCACTAGCTTTACTTGCATGAATAGTTGCATTCAATAGAATCGTAGAATGGGTTGGAAGGGACCTTAAAGCCCATCCAGTTCCAACCCCCCTGCCATGGGCAGGGACACCTTCCACTAGACCAGGTTGCTCCAAGCCTCATCCAGCCTGGCCTTGGACATTTCCAGGAATGAGGCATCCACAGCTTCTCTGGGCAACCTGTCCCAGTGCCTCACTCCCCTCTCTAGGAAGAATAAATAGGACAAGCTCAGTTTCAAAAAAAAAAAAAAAAGGAAATTTATTATGCATGAGAGGCATAGAACCATTTCAAGTTTTCTGTTTTTACTGATAAAGTCATGATAGAAATAGTGCTGTGTCCCGTCAGCTTAAACTACAGCGATATAGTTATTTAAAGGGATAAATATGGACGAGAGGAATGCGTTGGAAAGAAAAAACCCTAAGGATCCCTCAGTTAAGAAGTGCAGTAGACTCTTTGTATTCATTTCCCTGTCTCCCTACATGCACCCACATCCTTGATTTTTTTTGATTGGAAGTCATTTTTGCTAATGAAGCATTTAAGTATTTTGGCTCATTTATTTGGCTTATGTCACGATTGGCATGTTTCACTCATACATGCATAGTTTTGCGCATGGACGAAACAGGGAACGGTAACAGTGCTTTGGACTAAAGAGAAGGCAACATGAAGCTTAAAAATTGTCGTTCAAAGGGCACTAGATCTCTCCATGTTCACTAACGATGATAATGAGGGTGATCCCTTGCTTTGTATTTAGATGGGAGTTTGCTCGGAACCTCTGTATTCTGCTTTTCCAGATACGGAGTGATATAAGACAAGTTTTGCCCGTTCTGTTCCTGTGGTTCAGATGCTACTGTTTGGTTTTTGTGTTTACAACGTAAGCGTACATTACCTAAAAAAACCCAACAACCTAATGCATACCATTCTGCTAAAAACGTGCAACGCCTCTAGATTTAATTACTGAAATGAGTATTGCAGTGATTTACTTTTTCCGGTTTTATGCGAATTCATCCTTTTTATTTTTTTTTTTTCCCCCAGACCAAATGTGTGTGGCTCACGTTACAATGCTTACTGTTGCCCTGGATGGAAAACTTTACCTGGTGGAAACCAATGCATAGTCCGTAAGTTAATCCCGTGATGTGTTGTGACTGAGGTTTAGCTCTGTCCTCCTCTGTCAGGGTATTTTCAGTTGTACACCAGAACTGAAACCTGTTTCTGTATGGTTTCAGTGACAGCCGTACGTCATTTTTCTTTACTCATTTAAATATATTAGGCTAATGTACAAAGTTATGTGGGCTACGGTACAGCGTTGTGATACCAGTATTTAACGAAGGATTAATCTCATCCACATGTCCTGTTTAAGTCTGTGGCAAAGGGATCCGAGGGGTGTGTGGACTCTCAGGAGCAAAAGCTGCGGAGCAAGTTAATCAATTTAAGTAAATGGAAGGAGGCAACAGCATTGGGCCAGCAAGGATGTTTTCTCTGCTTGTTTGGACCACATTCCTGAAAAATATACGTAGGGATATAAATATACCCATCCATCCGTAGTGCTGTATGCATATTCCTGTGTGATGGTACAAAGTACCGGAAATAAGTGTTAAAGCCACTTTGCCTGAGGCTGATAAGCCCCTCTCCAGAGATCCTGAGGCAGCGTGCTGTCAGATGGGAATTTTTCTGCTCATTTGTGTCTGGTGCAGAAATAAAGGGAGCTTTGTACCCTTGCTTCAGTGCCATCCTTCCTCCAAGAGCGGTCTGGGGAAATGGACCACAGTTTCACTTTTCCAAGGAAATCTCCCTGTATCTTGTGTGGCCTGTGGCATGTTCCCAGGCCTTTTCGTAACAGATTGTGAAGGTCTGGGTTTTAGCTGTCGCCAATAGAGATGAGGATGAACGGGAGGGACCAATTTGGAATCTGTTGTATGCAATTTAATGAGTTTATAGGTATTTATGTTATGGTACTGAATGCGTATTTTCTATTAAGTGTTTTTTAAGTGTTTGGCATTTTTGAAACATATTTTAAAGGCATTTATGTTTTCTTTATAGCAATCTGCAGACATTCCTGTGGGGATGGATTTTGTTCTAGACCAAACATGTGCACATGCCCAAATGGTCAGATAGCCCCCTCCTGTGGTTCAAAATCAAGTAAGTATTTCTTCTGTGTCTTTGATATTGCTCTTTTGAGTCTGTGAAGCTACTAAGGTATGTAAATTCAGTGGTCAGTATTTAAGACCAACAACTTCTGAGTCACCAGACGTACTTTTACCACAGGAAAGAAGGTGTAGCCTCCTAGGATGAGACTGAAGAATGACTCAGAGACTAGCTATTGGGGACACTCTTTTTGCCAAATTAACCCCAAATTACTTTTATTGGAAGGTACATTCATTTGTCAGTTTAACACTAATTCCAGTCTTGCTTTCTGGACGATGCCTTATTCAACACTAGATGTGCACACATGTACAGCACAAAAGTTGTGATGGTAGAGAGATGGCTCTTGACAAGTAGCTGAATTTGACGTGCTTTTAATTCTGCTCTCATTTTGGGGGTTACTAAGCCAGACACTCTGCTGTGTTTTACATAGAGAGGTCTACAAGTATTACAGTATTTCCTTGCCAGGCTCAGTACGTGTCTTCTGAATCTAATAGTGCTCACCTTACCCAGGTGGTACTTCTGTAGGTGCTAGAGGTATGGAAATAGTCAAGGTTTTTAAGTGGAACAGCTTTTGTCAGTAAAAACCAGATGCTTTGGAAAGGAAACTTTTCAGAGAGATGGCTTTTCCTAGAAATGTTTGGATTTCAGGTTTGCAAGGAAAGTTCCCCATATCCAGAAAAAAAAAAAAAAAAGTAAAATGAAATTCATTCAGTGAACCCGATACTGTAGCCCATGAATAGCCATGGAGCTATCTGATACCAGCTTAAGATTTTGCCTTGGATAGTATTTTAGTTCATCTCTGAGGTGCCAGCTGCAGCCTCCACCGTAGTCTCGTTTGAGCATGGTGCTCATCTCATAAAATGTGGAGGTTTTTGATTTTTATATAAAGTGTGAAGATTCTTGGAAAACTTCTGGGGGAAACGGGTTCCCACAAATGCCCATAACTACCTGAACAACTTAAGTGAGGGGGTGCACTCAGCTGAGGGCTGTAATACTATGCAAAATGCTTGTCCTTTTAATTCTGAGTCTCTTTCCAGACTCAGTGTGTGGTCTGCTTTGCCCCTGTACCTTGCCATTTTTTTTGCTTCCTTAGTTGATAAGAGTTTTCCCACATAACTGACCACTTCAGCTTGTGGCTTTAGCATCCTTTTCATGCAGTAACAGTGGAAAAACAAAAACAACTGTGGAATGTAATGGAATGGCATGCACTAAAATGGTAAATATTGTTCTTTGTAGTTCGACCCCTTTCTCAGGCTCCTGTGATGTCTGTTAGGGAGAGGCCAGCGTGAGGAGGGTACGGAGCTCCCAGGGAGTACTGGAAGGAGGAAGGGTGCAACATGCGGCACAAATGTGTGTGGTGGTGGGTTCCTGCCTTGGTTTGCAGCTACTGTTTTACCAGGTGCATACACTTTAATCCTGTAAGCCAGTAAAGGGCAGTATGACCTTCTCCCAAGTCCCCTTCGGGGTGCAGAAGGAGAGAGAGATCCCTACATCTGTTACATGTTTTGGCACCTTTGTAAAAGACAGGAACGAGTGGGCCTTGGTATTACCTCATTTTTTTCTTAGGCCACACTGAAGTGTTTTATGAGTCAAGCCTTTAAAGAAAAACAGAGTATGGGTAAAGTTCTTTTTGTGGTTCTTTTTCTGAAATATTCTCACATTGATCTCCATAGTTTTAGCTTTTGTTGGAGTTGCACAGATAAATGGGTGCAGGAGGACTTTACTACAGTTTTTAATCAAGCAGCTTCTAAAGCCTGTATGACATAGCTCTTTTGGTTGTTGACATTGCTTCTCTTAATTATGAATATTCTTCTATTCATAAGCTTTAATTAGTGCTGACATGATTTTCCTTACATTGGAATTTCCTTACACTGTACATTTTCCTTACATAGGTTTGCCCACTTTTAAATGTTGCTTTACTGTGTATAAGTATTAACACTTTATAAACAGACTTAGCAGTTGGGTTAAAAATTTATTGCTGATATTTTGTCTAATCATCGCAATCATTAAGATCACCTTTACTTATTAAACCAAACCAATTCTAAAAGCGAAAGTGCCTTGAGTTGTTGTGGAGAGAAAAGACTCTGCTGCCTCTGTGCACTCTTGTGTAATAATGTTTATGACCCAGCACCTCATTAGGACTTACAGAACATACGCTTTCTGTAAGTCATTTGCTCTGTTGGCACTGTAGACAAAAGCCATGAATACGTATTTACACAATAGACCACAATGGCTTAGAACTGCTGTTAGGAAACAAAGTAAACATAAACATAAAAAATACTGCCTGACATCAAAGGGTTACTGTCAACTCTCGTTGGTAACAGATAATATGTTGCCAGAATGTGCGCTCACAAAACCTTACTTTAATTACACGTTTTAACAAATGAGTAAAAACTCCTACTAAAATAATTAAAAAAAAATCAAAAGTGGATGATGCAAGTTTGTCACATTCAAAATACAAAAATGAGTGAAAAAAACATGATTTCTCAGGATTAAATGTATGACTTCTGGTATACGCGATGTGTCTGAGTCGTCTTTTGGGTATTTTAAGCTACGTGCATCTTTAGTCGTTAAGGAATCATTAGTGGGAACAGGTTTTATAGCATGTACAACCATAAGGCAGAAATCGAATTCACAGTATGTCTCATAGACTGGTTGTCTGCTGGAATTAAAGAATTAATGCAGATTGGAAAGCAAAACAAAGCCTTCGAGTCTGGTTCTTACGCAGGTCAGTTGTCGGGACTTTTCTGGTTACGAGTCAGCTTGAGGAATCTGATTCGTGGTTGAAAAGATCAACCGGTGGTTTTCTCAGAGGGGATTTTCGTGACATCAGTGAACTTTCTGGCTGAGTAGTGGTTATTTCTGTGTAATTACTGAAGTTTTTGGTATGCTTACAGTAAGCTCGGAGATAAGGTTGCCACATGTGGAGGCATCCCTCCCTCTGGCTCTGATGCGTGGGTGGCTCTGAGTTGCAGGTGCACGTGTGGGATGTCCTACACCCTGTGCTGCGCCAGCTCTGAGGTGGCTGTGCTGCTACCCACCCCAAACCACCCGGGCCGTGGCTGCTTTGGCCTTGTCTGGTCGTGCTGCAGCCGTGCCCCTGTTTGTGCTGCAGATATATCCTACAATCCTGCCGCGTTGTTGGAGTTGCTGCTCTGCCCCGGTGGGAGCAGGGTTGAGTGAGTGAGGAGGAGGAGGGTCTCTCCTTCAGCATCAGGCACACCCCGCTGCCTCGTGGGGTGGTGGGTCCGGTGTGGCTCTGAGCTTGGCTGCTGGTGGCTTGGGCCTGAACAGGGAAGGTGTTTGCTGATGGGGCTGTCCCTGAAGGAAGGGGGCCATGGCAGAGGCAGCGAGAGCTGTGGTGGGTGCTGGGGGGTAGCTGGGAGGGAAAAGTGCTTGCACTACCCCCCCCAGCAGGCTGGTTACACTGCCTGGGTGCAAAATGGGGCCTGCTCCGTTCCCCCTGCTAGCATCCTCAGAGGCACCAGCCGAGGTCTTCCTCAGAGGCCGTGTCCTGAGGGGGAGACGGGCCGGAGCCTGGGTCCTCAGCTTCGCGCTCCAGGATCCTCAGGGTGGTGTGGGGCATGTCCTTTTGACACCAGTAAAACCTGGAGCTCAGCCCCTTCCCTTGTATTCTGCTGTTCTCAGAGGGGGTAAAAGGTTTTGAATTTTAAACGTCTGCAGAGTTTTCAAGGCTGCTGCAGGTTTTCTCAGCATCTCGTGCGGGGCTTCGGGCCCACGTCCCATCCCGGCACTAGCTGCCATCTCTCCCGAGTCAGTCACTCGACAGAGAAAGCACGCGGAGCATCTGGGATGCGATGAGACCGTCATTCCTTGTTTACAGCTCCTGGCAGGCAAAGCCCTGCGTCATGCACGGCCGGGGTTGGGAGCGTTTCCTTGGCAGTGGCACAGAGAGGCGAGGGGGGGGG